CATTACCGTCTGTTTTATCTCCTGCTGAAATATGCCCACATCCGCTGTTGGACGCCGCTTTTTCCGGCCGCGACTCCGTGTTGCAAGCTCTCTTGGCCTGCTGCTGCATAAAGCCGCTGAGGCATGCAACATAAAAACAGCAACAAGCATCGCTGCTTGACTTGGCGGTGCGCACTTGGATCAGTAGATATCCTGTACTCAAATAATGAGTTCCAAGTTTTGGGCACTGCATATAGCTGATCATTTCGAATCTCAAAGCAGATATCCGAGAAGGATATCCTTCATACCTTTCACCTCTTTCTTAACACTTCTTCCTTCAGTGTATAGAGCATAGCCTCCATCTACTGCAATATACCCCATTTATCGCTTGTTTCTACAGGTCATCTTTAAGGTAAATGAATATTCAGTATTTTCTTCTTCTTCTCATGCTGCTGCTGCTGCTGTTGCTTCTGCTTCCAGCTGCATATTGTTGGGCCCCTTTCTGACAAGTGTTTTTTTTTTTTTTTGGACGCGGACGAGAATGCAAAACCAGATGGTTTATTAAATCAGCGAATCAGATATAAAAGACAATGGCCAGATAAGGTGGCCGAGCAGAGGTGGCTATAAAACGAGACTAACGGCACCTTGAAGCTGCTGTAACACTTGAGCAGGCAAAAGTATCAACACTTTTGGCTTTACTTGAGAAAAAGAGCCAAAGAGTTATATAAACGAAAGAGGTTGAGAACACAGTTAAGTTAAACGATCTACTTAGCTGTATTAGCTGAGTCATGTGCTGAATCAGCAATATATATCAGCGATTTCAAGGAAGGAAGTTGGATATGCGCTCTTCAAAGAACTCTTACTGGTATTGCAAGCAACCCTTTGGTGTTTACCAGGCTCGTTCGGAATTGTGTAAGAAATCATGTAAGTCAGCTCTGCAAAAGTTCCTTGTTCTATTACAAAATAAGGCAGTTTTCTCTGCGTGAGAGATGTTTAGATATTTTATTTCTTGTGGAGTCAGAAATGTATTTTTTTTGGCATCAAAAAAGGATTTAGCTCAATCTATATATTGTAGTATGAAAGATGTCATCTAAGCATGAAGTGCAGACTTGTTTATATACAATACATATGTTAGAGAAACATCTTACTCTCTTTCTAACTTCACCTGCTTTCGCTTAAACCGCTAATTTCCCCCTCTCCTCTTCTAGAATCTCTCTCATCGAGTCTTTTAGGGCATTTAATACATGTATAATATCTCCAGCTGCTAGATTCACAATCTAAGCCTAGGCTAGACGTCTGGGTACCCCGCGTTAATGCTAGCACAAAACTCAGCCAGCGCCTTCAAAACCCACAGTTTCTGTAAATCTGTGTATACATATATTAAAAAATTAATAAACATTTTTTGTTATGGGAAAATGATTCGATACGCACATTGCCTCTCATGCTATCGATGAAAAATTGATTCCTGGCAATGTATGCATCACAGATTCAATTATGCCCCACATGCTCTAATCTATCATAGGTTTTGGCATCAGCTTTTTTACTCCCCAAAATAAATCAAGTTTTATTGCTGCTCTGATTGACGCAGACTCCGACTGTGCTTAGGCATGGGCCATAATACCACATGTTTATTGAAGTATTTACAGCGAGTACATATTTTATTATATGTATGTATGTATGTACTGGCTGTGGTATTATATCAGGCAAATGCCTCATTTACTCTACCCCTTTTCCCATACTCTCTCTCTCTCTCTCACACTCTCTCTCACACTCTCTCTCCCTCTCAGTCATCAGCTGCATATCAGCGACGACTGTGCATGAGGCGTCTCAATCAGTTTTTGTTACGTTGCGCAAATATTTGCAAAATTTCCGTATAAATATATAAATACATATATGAATTATATATATGTATGTATATATATCACATATATTTATATATGTGTTTATTTTCTCGTTAAATATGAAGAAAAGCCGATTATGCCGCACGATGTGGCAGCCAGAAAGAAGCCTGCCACAATTTCAGGTCGACTGCTTCGTAGGCCCCGCAGCGAGCAGCAGCAGCAGCAGCAGCAGCAACCACACAGACCTGATTAATGAGCTGCAAATGATGTTGTGCGCTCGACTTTGCTGTCAGTGTGTGTAAATCACCGACAATTGGGTTGAGTGGGGGCGTGGCTGTGGGGGAGCCTCAGCTCAGCTTGCGTGTGTGTCGTATGCGTGCAGGGGCGCCGCATGCAGCAGGCGAGAGCCAACAAAATTGCAAACATGTTGCTAATGTTGCTGCTGGTGTTGCTGCTTCGATTGTTGTTGTTGTTGCTGTTCTTGTTGTTGTTGTTGTTGCTATTTATGTGGCATTGGCATTTTTGAAGTGTGCAGACAACTTGGCATTCGATGCGTTTCACTTGTTGCATCGCAGCTGTTGCACTTATCTCCTAACACGCTATGCACTGCAACTGTCAAAGGGGGTATATTAGTTGATGGATAATGATGCTGCTCGTTTCGATTGGGGAGTGTGGACATATGATAAGATGGATCAAGTCTCAATTCAATCCAGTTCTATTCCGCTCAGTTCACAAATCTATTAAATGCTCGAATCGTTCTTTACGTCACAGATCCTTGGCATGTTATGCTAATACAGTTTAACAGTCACAGCCTAGATAGAGTATTAGAGAGTATATCACATTTCAAGAAGCCAAAAGTCATGTGATGCATTCAAATTTCCTACTCACAGTTTGACAATCATTGCCAAGATATAGTAGTCTATCAAATCGAATGTTTTAGACTTTAATCAGCCTTTTTCTGCTCACAGTAGTTGAGAGCCTATTCCAAATATCCGTATTATCAAGTCTAAAGTCATGTAAATCACTCACAAATCACACCAAGTCACAATTTCCTTTAACAGTTTGACACTCACACAAGTACACAGAAGTTTAAGAGTCACCGAGAAGCGCCTGTTCGCTCTTCTCAGTGAGTATCTTCCGAGTCGCTTTCACGGCAGCAAGTGCAACGCTTTTATTAGCTGTTATTTTTACAAGCGAAAGCGACACAGGCGCATCACGCGCTGACACTTTGCTTACGCCCAGCACTTGCCACGCCCGCTCTTATGACGAGTGGGCAGGGGAGGGTGGAGGGGCGGCGCTTGTTTGCTTTTGAAAGTTTGAAATGCCGGGCACAATTGGCAGCGACGCAAAACATTGGCTTAAAGCAGTTTTGCGTAACAAAAGCCGAACGCCTGGCAAGGCTGGCGGGCAAAAGTTTTTACAGCAGCAGTTAACAGCTATTCGGAAACTTGTAAAAAAAAGGGGGCCACTTGTGGGCGGGGTGGGGGCGGCCAGCAGCCAACAATGGCATATATAGAATATGCTGCTGTTTGGCTCTAGACCCAGTTAAAAAAGCACTGCGAACTGCAGTTACTTCTGTCTGTCCGTCCGTTTGTCTGTCTGTCTGTCCCTGAAAAGCGGCTTATGGCTTAATAAGTACTTGCAGCTGCAACAAAGCCAAATGTTAGCTTTTAAGTAGCCAAAAATAAGAATGAGCCCTGAGCAACAAAACGCTAACAAGCAAAAAATATGCTCGCATGACTAACGGGAAATGGGGGTTAAGCAGCCGGCAGACATTCGCCTTACCTTGGCTACCTTTTGACATGATTCGGTTTTCGCTCTGCAATCAGGAATATTAAAATATTTTTGTTTGCCAAACAAATAAACGAAAGTAGACTGCGGTCTCCTTGCCACTCCACATCCGAGAGTCCTTCAATGATAGCCAAATATTTCGCATATGAGCTGGTATTTGTACTAAGTGGAAGACGCTGATTGCAACATTGATCCACTCCTCGATGTTGCAATCCTCTGCTGACTATGGCTGCTCAAGTGTGAACAGATAGAAGGTCGACCAAGAATGTCAAGAGGGAGAATCATAGCAAGATGGGATTGGACTTGACTTAAACGAGATTACCTATAAATGACTTCGAAATAAATTTAGTTATAAGAGATAGAGAGAGAGAGAGAGAGAGAGAGAGAGAGAGAGAGAGGGAACATAATCTCTATAATAATTTGAGCGCTGAGAACTTCCCCCTTTGGTTTTTTCAAGTCCATCGTGAAAGTTGCAAGAAATGCTCTCTAAAGATGGAATTCAGTTAATTGTAAACATGAAAGATACCCTCTCCATTATGATTAATAGGCATGCTAATGAGTTCTGTGAATCTAATTGGCGTTAATATAGAAATCGTATGTTAGATCTAGTAAAGGCCGATAGCTGCTTCTGAAAATGCCGCGGGTCGAACTTGTCAATACCAACAAGAGATAAATGTAAATTAGCTTCAGCAGCCAATATTTTGTAATCAGGCCTGTGGCAAAAAGCTGCAAAGATTTACTAGTTACTAAGTCAGCTCAAGAGACCAATAAATTTGATCGTGGCTGTATTATTATAGAGTTGTGATAGATGTTATAACAGTAGCTAGATTCAAAAGTGAAACCGTCTACGATTCTAATTTCAGCCAATTCAGCTAGCTAGTTTGTTATATATGCAGATGTTGGTAGAGATATGGATAGATATAAGAAATAGTAAGAAATAGGGGGAGGAAGAAAGATACAGATACAGATACAGATACAGATACAGATACAGATACAGATACAGATACAGATACAGATACAGATACAGATACAGATACAGATACAGATACATATATACATATAAATGAGATCCACCTGATTACACTTTTGTTTGTTGATAAATTTGTATTATTTAGTTATGCCTATGAAGCACGCAGCCGAAAGAAATCTATTGATTGGCTAAAACCGGTTGCAGATTGGCCTTAGGCCGTTGGCCTATTTCCAGTCGCCTCTTAGTTTGACCCTTGACTTCAACTTTGTTATTCGGGTTTTGCATATGCAAAACGCGCTGGCGTTGGCTGATGTCAACTTTCTTTTGAGTTCTTCGACATAAAAGTTGAGCGCCAGCCGGCGATTGGTTTCAGTTAAGACGCGCGCGGTTTGCGGTCAAGAAGGCATTAGTCGCTAGCCATGAAAACCCCAAATGCTCTGTGGGCCATTGCCCTGATTGGCCTCAGCTGTCTGCTGACAACAGTCGCAGGTGAGTGGACCCTATGTTGCCTCTAGCTCGCCCTTTGCATGGACTTTAAAGACGAATTTAATATCGGAGTTCAATTGACTTTCAAGTTGACCTTTAAGCAGACGATTATTTGGCTAGCACTTAAAATGTGCTTGGATTCTTATACTGGATTGACTTGACTTTATTTATCTTTGACGCGGGTTACAGCTTGATTAAAGTTCTAATAATTTATTTTCCTCCCTCCTCAGCTGGTCGCCTCACCCTTCGTCCTTTGACGCCGCAGGAGCTGCGCTCCGCTCTCGTTGAGGCGGGCGTCGATGAGGGGCAGCTGACCCCCATTGGCCGCGCCACGCCCTCAGCCATAGCAGGCCTGGGCGGCTTTGCGCTGGGCGTGGCAAACGGTCTGGGCGGCGCCCTGATCTTCGATCTGCTTACCTCGAATGAGACAGCGGCCTATGTATCCAACCTAATCAACTCGCTGAACTCGACGTCGACCGATGGCGGCAGCAGCGGCGGCGCTGGTGGATCGACTCAGGAGGTCTGCTTCCAAAGTCGAAGCTTGAGTGGGAATCTGCTGCAGGGACGTGCCAACGATCAGTACGAGGACTTTAATGATGATCGCGATTTGTATGACTATGAAGATGACGACGATTATTCGGGGCTGGGTCGCCAGGCCACCGAGGATTACTATTCAGACTATGCGGACCCTATCGCTGGCACTCCCGGCATCACCTGCATTGTGGTCAATAAGGGACGATCCATATTTCGGCATCGACGAAGCGCCGAGCTGGCACCGGAGCAGCAGGACGAGAGCAAACCAGCCGAAGGCACAGAATCAGAATCAACGCTAGGGGAAGCGTCCACAGCTAATCCGAATGCATAAATTCTAATCTATGTGTGTTTATTGAGTAATTTAGTGCTTAAGTCTATTAAAGTATAATTGATACCACAAGTGGGCGTGGCAGGGGTCATGACGTGGCAACTGAAGGTGTGTGGGTGCGGGTTCTTATGCAAGAATAATAAAGCGACATGAGTAGTGGGGGTTGTTGGACCTAAAAGCTATTAAGAAGCCGGTGGATACACTGAGCGAATATATAATGGAGTTAAGTTGAAATGCGAAATTTATGTATACTATACACTAATACAGCTAGCTTTTAGATATTTAAGCTGATGCCAACTGATATAAATACAATATATATAAATACTGCACTGAGAGAAAATTTGTAGAAATTCCTACAGTTAGCTAATAAGTAACCAACTCAAACAGAGCCAGGGCAGCAAGTGCTAAAACTCTATTAATGCTACCATGTGCACTGGGAAAAAATTGGACCTAAGTTGTTGTCAGAGAATTGAAAATAAAATCCTCAATAGCTGAAACTAAAATTACACTGTAAAACAAAGTATTAAATAAAGTAGTAAAGTAAAGTAGTGATTAAAATGAATATAAATTAATAAATAAATAATATAAGAAGGAAGATTTTGTCTAAATTCCCCCAATCGAATCGTTGCACTTAGAGAAAATTAAATAAGCGCTATGCCAGAAAGTTATTAGAGAAAAGTTGATATAGAAAAGTTGTTGAAATGTGGGTGATATTAACATAGCATAGCTAGAAGAAGAGGAACAAAAATATTCGCCACAAAATCAGCAAATCAAGTCGCAATGAAACTTTGCCAAGACAAACTCGAACTTTGAACGTTGTCTTTTCGCTCAGTATGCTTAGTCGAAGCTTGATTGAATTTCTCGCTTGGCTGATTTCATCAAAATGAGCCCAAAAGTGGGCGGGGTGGGCAGAGGAGCAGTGGGTGCGTGTGCGTGTTTGTTGTGTGTGTTTGTTGGGTGGCAAATGTAAAAGGTTTTAGCCAATGCATATGTCACCATTTGCAATGTCATGCCTAGACACACACACACGCACACACAGACTCACACGCACACAGACACGCATAAATAGAAATTAATGCAAACAGCCACGCAGAAACCCCTTGCCTATTCCATAGAGAGACTACGAGACACACCGAGAAAGGGAGAGACGGAGAGAGGGGGAGAGACAGAGAGTGGGAGTGAGTAAGTGAAGCAGAGAGGGAATGGGAAATAAACACACGGCTTATGTAAACATTGAAATGTCATTGCCGGCACAGTTCAACGGCCGCGCCCATAAATCCTGACCACAATTTATTAACTTTAACACTGGCCAATGTCAACGCAGTTCCTGAACAGCCACACACGTATGCATACACACACACACATACGCGTATCCTGGCCGCATCCTGCGGCATGCCATTCGTGGCCCTCCGCTGCTCCCCCTCCAGATTTCCTATTGATTTTGATGAGAAATTTATGTGGCCGCAAGACCTTTAAGACTTGCCTTATCCCAGCATTATAATAACTATTAAGCATATTTCAGTTGGAGTTTTCGTTTCCTATCCGGACACATGCAGGTGGCTTCAGTGGTGGTTTCTAGTGGTTCGTATTCCTGTTTATCGGTAGCAGGGCCTTGCCCAAATGGCCATTGCATTAGCTGATATCAAATATTTATGCTAATGCGTTAAAAGCGAATGGGCTATAGGCATGGGCATGAAATGATTTAATTGTTGGACTCCACAAATTGAGATGGAGTTGAATAGAATGAAGAAGGAAGAGAGAGAGAGAGCGGGAGTGGGAGAGTCTGAGCGTGAAAGAATATGATATGATAAAGGGGAAGATTATGAATTTGACTTGTTTAGGTATATTGAAGGAGATAAGGAAAAAAGGGTAAAACGAAAATTGTAGAAACAGAAATTTATGCGGAGTGGTTGAGACAGAGAGAGAGAGAGACAGAGAGGGAATGAGAGAGAGGGGGAAGGGAGGGGAGACAGAGAGAAGGTGGGATATATAAAGATAGTAAGAGAGAGAGAGGGTAAGGGAGGGAGAGAAAGGGATAGATAAAGAAGAAAATGGGATAGATGGAGAGAGACAGTATGGAGAGAGAGAAAGAGAGAGGGGGAGAGAGAGAGAAAGAAAGAGAGAGAGAGGGAGAAAGAGAGAGAGAGAGAGAGAAAGAGAGAGAGGGACAGAAAGAGACAGGACAGAAAGACAGCACATAAAGAGACAGGAGAGAAAGAGACAGGGAGAGTGAGCCTAAGGCTGAGGCAGAAAATTGACTCATGATCTTCCTCCTGTATAATAACATAAGGCATAGATAAATAGCTAGAAATTGACAGATAGGAAGGGAGTTCGATTAAGTGATAAAGTAATACAATTATCATAGAGTGAGAGTAGAGAAATATTTTCATGATTTCAGCTATCAAACTAAGTATAAATGACAAGAGATAGAACTTTCTGTGCTTATGCTTAGTATCTTAAATGGTTCATCCTAATCCGAATAGAACGAAAAAAGCAAAACAACGGCAAATGCTTTAAGTCTGCGAATCAAATCAAAAAGCAATTAAAGCTAAGCAAAACTTTGAGCACTAGCAGCACACATACTTAAACACAACCACACACACTGACTCTCTCTCTCTCTCTCTCTATCTCTCTCTGTGTCTCTCTCTTCCTTATGCACACCCTCACATGCATACAAATTAGCTGCTAAGCATTTCGCATAGCATATTCATGTGCTGGAAGCAGAGGAAAAGAACATTTGTAGAATCACAGCCAAAGCTGCAATACCGACATTTGGAGTCGAAGGAGCAACACTTTGAATTCTGGTGACAGCACACATTCTCTTCCCTCTCTCTCTCTCTCTCTCTCTCTCTGTCTGACTGTCTCGCTCGCTTTTACTCCCTGCAAATGTGGCACTAAATGCGCTAAATTACAAACTAAATGCCGCAAGTGCCGCCCTCTGGGCATGGCCCGGATTACACAAATGAGCGTCTATGCGAGTGGGCCAGAGAGGGACGGGGACGGGGACGGAACGGAGCGAGGCGGGCCGTGGGCGGTAGAGGTCGCCGAAATTTGTGGCAAGTGGCAAAGCCCAAAAATTGTCGACAGCCGATGACATTTGAGCGATAAGAAAAACTGTTTTCTGTGGCTTTAGTTGAAAGCAAGTTAAGAGAAGGCGAGGCGAGGTGGGACGGGGCGGGGCGGGGCAAAAGGCCAAAAGGGCAGCAGGGGGCGTGGCTGTTGAGCAAATGTTTCTGTTTGTATTAAGTATGCAGGCGTGTTGAAGTGTCACACACACACACACACACATAGAGGCAATGTTGTTGTTTGCGCCTTTTGTCGTTTTGTTTGTGGTACTGAAAATTTTTACAGTTATTTTTACAGCATTGAAAATTGTTTTAAATGTTAATGCCAGTTGTTGTTGTTGTTGTTGTTGTTGTTGTTGCCTGTTGCCACTTGGCACAATAAAAAGAGGCGTGTGCCGCCGCCTCCCACACACCATGCCACACGCAATTGCAACGGCACTGAGGCAGCAGCTGAACTCCTCCGTGTGCTGCAAATCCCAGGACAAACAAATAATTGAGAGAAGCGTGTGCACACACACACGCACACACACACACACACATACGCTCTTGTAGCACTTGTGTTAAATTATGCGGGTTTTGGTTTTTATTGCATTTGCCGCTCATTTCTTTTGCTTTGCTTTTCCCTTTGTTTTGTGGCTTTTGCTGCAAGGGTCGCGCCGCTGTGCCAGGTGCGAGCAGGTGGGCAGGCATTGGCAGGAGGCATGTAGCTGCTGCTGGTGCTACGCGAATCATCTGCCAAGTCGCCAAGTCCAAAATGATTTCTTGTTTCCCCCTTACTTTCATTCTCACATATCTCATGCATCGTTGCCCCCTCAACGAGCTATTGTTGTTGTTGTTGTTGTTGGGAGCGGGAACTTAAGGGGGTTAACAGCCCCTGTTTGGCATTTCAATTAATGCCACTTGCGAATGTCAAAAACAAAAGGAAAAAAATAAATAAATATATAAGAATAACGACTAATAGAATCTGCCCAACTGGGAGTTATCCTGTAAATGGCCAACATCCAATAAAAATTACTTTGAGTACTTACGCAGCTGTTGTGTTCCGTGTACTTTAATCGGCCTCGCATATTTCAATTGCCAGCTGCAGGTCTCTAAACAGTCAGAGAAATCTGTGGAGATACAAGAGTTCAAGGAGTGTTTTAGTCAGATGTTGATTCTCACTTCCGTTCGGTTGCAGATATCAATCAAATGGTGTATTGGCAATCTTTGTGTCAGAAGAGGGATGAGATATTCGTGAAACGTTTTCGTAGTAATCGATATTTATCGGAAATTATCAAAAATGACTTGGTATATTCAATCATCTATTCAAAACCTATCAGTTTTCCTATCTGCATCTTGAATATAGCTCATATCTTATGAGATATATAATGAACTTTTGGTAAAACAGCAGAAACATTAGGAATCGATTCAATAGTGCATATAACGCTTTAGCCAATATAAACTCTGCATATAAGGTGTCGCAGTCTAGTCATATATCATTTTAGTATTTGTACTCAAAAGAGTTTTCTTTGCCTTTCAATTAAAGAGGTAAGTGAAGACTGAAAGGAAAGCTCAACACTTGAGTAATAAGACTGGATATTGGTATTTTTATATTACACGTAGATGCATAAGACTAGATCAACGTCAGCCAAAAAATCTGTATCACAAGACTTTCACTCTCAGTGGCATTAGCTAAAACAGAAATCTACTTAACCTTGGCGCTCTACAGGGTATTCAAGGCGTGCTCAAGCAACCCTCTATAGCCCTACATAGGCATAAGGGTCATCACTTTCGCTTTCGACTGACGATTTGCGGCGTAGGCGGCTGGGGATGGCTTCGCTGCACTCTAATGAAGCCATCGCGGGGGCAAGCCCCAAAGCAACCCTTAGCCGGGGCAACCCTCACTTTCCCTCTCTCTCTCTCTCTCTCGCTCGCCCTCTTACTGCTGCTCAATGCTGTGGACAGTGTCAACAAGGTAGCGCGATATCAGTGCAATTCGTGTGACACGTGACCACAAGAAATCCGCCGGAGTGTTTGAGGAGGGGTGCGTCATAAAGAGAACGGGAATGACGAGCAAAGTGTGAAGAAGTGCGAAGTGTCGAGGGGTATTAAGGGGGCACTTAATAGATTTTTGATTTGTTTTGCGCCCGACGCCAAGCCAAGCCCGAGCCAAATCCAATTGTGCGCGGCGCGTGCGACGCTGATTCGAATAATGATTTGCCAAATACCGCAAATTTATGCGACTTCCTTGTCTCTACATATTATATAGATTTGATATATATGTATATATATGGATATACATATATATAAATTAAAATGTATGTGTGTCTGCGTGTTGTATCAATACGTTAACGGTACACGCCATCGATATCGTGTTAAAGCAGCCGAGTAATTCAATAAAGGAATCACGCAAACCGACCAAAAAAACAAACAGACTAAAGACGGGAACGAAATGCACAGAGAGAAACTATGTAGAGGTTCCTTAAATAGGCAGATGACAGCTAAAATTCATATGGAAATTTTAAAGAATTTTATTTAGAGAAAAGATATATCAGTTTCTTATAATTTATTTGATAGTTCCAATAGATTTATTATTTAATCAGATTTATTGAAGAAATTTATTAGATCTTTGTCCCAGTTAAGATTCAATACGGATTAGCTGGATTATCTACATGAATTTGGCTTGATATGATTGAGAATGCCATTGATTTTTATAAATTAAAAAAAATATTTGGAAATTATATTTACTTTCTTATCAAAATAAGAAGAAAGTATTTTACAGAACTAAAAATAATTTATTAACTATTTACAGTAAATTAAGAAGCAAATTATTTAAAATATTGCAGCCTATTATATAATATTACTAAGTAATAATAATATGCTGAAATTCTTAAAATAAATATTATAAATTTCCAATTTTCTATATATAAAATAAATAATTAATAAACAAATTAT